TAATCTTCGAAATAAAATCCACCGTTTTAGGGCTTATATGGTTAAGAATCGTGATAATGTAAAGAATATCTTTAAAAGTTTCCTCTTCGGTCAGATTTGAGTCAGTTTTCTCATCAATATGCGAGAGTTTAGAGCGACGCGCGCTCCCGCGAGAGGGGATGCAATTCTCGGCAGGCATGCATTTCTCGGCATAACACCGGGGAGTTCTTCTTTACCTGTGAAATATCCTATAGCTAAGCACAGCACCACCTACTGGTTGAACAGTAGAAGGTCAAACTAACCTAATTTTAATTCAATAAAATACAGGCGCATATTTAACAGTTTTGTATTTTTATGTGTGTCTGTAGTCGTTCAAAAAAGTGATCCCCATCTTTACAGATTAATAAGGGTACTTTTCTGTTGGCAAGTAAAACTTTTTTTTGAAAAAAGTAGGAATATGTATTGAACTAGGTATAATAGAAACCAAATGGAAGAGATAACTATTAAACAGATGAAGTTTGGATTAAATTGTCTTTTTTTTTAGCTTAAAACAGCAGAGCCCTCTGCTACACTATTTAAATATGACAATTTAAATTTAAAATGTGCATAATGACAATGCTTCTAGGTTGAAGAGCAAACGCCTCGCAACAACCAGCCAGCGAACAAAGTTCAAATTTTACAATACAGGAAAGATACCCCAAAACTTGAACCCATTCTCATTTTAGTATTTTACCTAATAAAACAGCCCTGAAAATGTTTGTGCTTATCTTATTAATCTAAAGGTTTTTTTAAAAAATCTTTTCTTTCCATCCTTACTCTCCAATTATCTTAAAACTTTTTATGCATGTTACAGAATGCTTAGATTGTTTTACGGTGCACGCCTTCATTAATGCATTTTAGTGGTGAGGGACAGCTCAGATTTGACAGGGAGGATACATTTCACAGAGGCTTTTAATCAGTAATGTGGCAGATAAAAATATGATGGTTAAAAAAAAAAAAAGATTAGGCTGTTAATGTCATTAGTGGCCAACATTGGGATACACAATCTATAGCTGGCTTTATCTAACTGAAAACATTGCATCCTAAGTTGATCTAAAGTGTTTTGCAGTACATTTCAGCTTGTACTTAAAAAGCTCAAACAACCCATTCTGTCATTTAAAATAACTCTGGATTCAGTAGCTTGAAAACCACATTGTTTATATCAACTAAAGCACACATTATCTAAGGACCAAACCATCTCCTCTCACCCAAGAAAACCCAGCTGTGCATTAAAACTCATCAGGGCTACATGTGCCACCTGATTTTATCACATTCTTATTTCAGGCATTTGTACCTCTCGAATAAAAGAAAAAAAAAAATCTAGTCTAAACATCCCAACAGTCTTGTGGATGCAAGTTGCAGTTTTTTTTTTTTAAAACAGCAAGTAACGCAGTGACCATTATTCATAAGGAACATGTACAAGTGCAGCAAAAAATAAAAAAATCATCTAGAAGAGTTAATTTATTTCAGAAATCTAGCTAATAAGATTCAAATGCAGACCCTTCTACACTCCGATTAATTTTTTTCATTTCCAAATTCAAAGATACATTGTTTTTTAAGAATATGAATAATAATACATTTGACTTGACTTGGTGAAAACTGCCAACTTGACAATTGTTCTGCAAAACGTCAAGCGGTATAACCTTTAATTGCTCATAAGGCTGACTGAGTCTTCTATCCAAATATATTACCGGTAGTAGAAAATTGAGTGGAGGGAAAAGGGAGCACATGCCACAAGGAGAGCAATGAGAAGAGTGCGCTTTGAATCTTCTTCAAGAATTTTAGGGAGATTTGGAAAATATGGACTTACACTGCAGCCAGAGCTTTAGAACTCATCACACAGAGGCACATCTGGGATATGTACTAACACATTACAAATGTTTAGCTGCTCCTGAAACAGAGACATCAGATGCATCTGATCACAGCTACGTAAAACAAATACTTAAATGTCACTTAGTTGTTCAGAATCCTCTTTTAAAATATTTGTTTTGCATTTTAACTGGAAAACCATGACATTAACTCTGCAGGAGAGCAAGCTTCTTTTACTTAGAAAGCACGTAAAACACAGCAAGAACTGATCAAAGTGATCAGACTATTAAAAGCATGAAATTCATGTTAAAGTCTGGAGGAAATGTGGACGTACACAGAAATTATTCCTTATCTCACAGCCGGTGAGAATTTAAAGAGTCACGTCATCCACTGCTGTTCCCGTGTTTTGTTAAGTAAATAACTAAGAACATAGTGGGCATTGTGAAGCTGCCACAACAGCAGAAATTCTTAGAGCGCTTCATGCTTCTCTCTCCCTTTGTGAAGATTCCTAACATCCCAGCAGGTCTTTGCTAAAGTCTATGCAGTCAAAAGAACCAAAACCTGGTTTGATGACCATGGTATCCCATTTTGGCCAGCAACTATGCCTTTAAGAATGTACATGTATTATTAACAGGAACATGACATATATCGAACCAAAAAATCCTGCATTAATACAATAATTCATTCCTAAGGAGTCCCATCATTATATAATCCATATACAGTGCTGTACATGGAGGTTCTTTTCACTAAGTCATTATTTCTGTTTGACATTTATTTTTTATTTTTACATAACAATACCAAATATCTGATGACTCAGATTATTTGAAAAGCTGGAATTAATAAAAAAGCAACTGTAAAAAAAGTTATGACAGAAGCATGTTGTTTTCTCCAATAGTTTGTAGTTTATTTCATTACAGGCAGGGAAGTGGGGGAAAGGGGTTAAATACATTCTCAATGTGGGGCAGGAAAGGAAGGGATGCAAACCAGGTAAACATGGACAAGACATAGTTGAATCATTTCTTTTTTGATATAGATGAATTTGCAAATCTGCCAATACCTTAAATAAATAGCTTGATTTTTCTTCTACATGTCAGTACTGATCTTTTTAAGAAGTCTTATTGTTATATAGTTGTTCTCTACACGACTCTATGGGAATTCATCTTACAGATATCTGCACAAATAAGTACACGTAAAAGACAGTGCTGTACACATCACAATGGAGAAAAAAATTGTACTTTCTATTGGTAGAGTTTAGTCTTTGATCAACTTCAGGCAAAGCTACTGCAAGTAGAAACAGTCCGACATTAATGTGCCTACCAGGACTGGTAATAGTGTCTAATTAATGTCTCATTTAAACCAGTTTGCTGTAACTATAGTAGATCTATTTCCCATTACAGAAGCTGTGCAAATGGTTAGTGAGGCCTTGAGAGTGGCATCAAATGTTGTTTTGCAGCAGGTCTAATCACTTTGAGGAATTGGTGAAGATTACTAAAAGACAAACAAAACAAATGTAAAAACATAAGCATGCCATGGCAGAATGTTACACATTACTCGTAGAAAAGGGGAAAGACGGCTCCATTATAGAGAACTTGCATCTGGGATGAGTTTCCCCCATACTGTCCTAAAAACATAGGAGAACGACGACACCAAAGCCATTCTTTTGCAGGACTAATAAAACCCATCAAATATAGTGTTAAAAGTGACAACATTTACTGTATTAAAAAATGCAAAACATGAGCAACTTGTCAAACTCAAAGTGCTATGGATGACTGAATGCCATTCGAGAAGTCAGTCCAACGTTAAATAGGATAAGCCGGATTAAAGGGAAGTAAAACAGTTGACCTTCAAACATGAAAGCACCGTCAGTAGGAATACAAAAACACCTCCTGATACACTTTGACTGCGGATTAACCACTAGTCTAAACTTGGGTTACGTAATAATGATCGAGATACGGTGACTTTTTTCTTCCTTTCTGGACAAGTTCAGAGCATCTTTACTGCGACTTGATGACAAGACTTGTTATATACAAGCCATGCTACATTGAAATGAATTAGGCATGCAAACTTTCTGAACAAGATATTTTAAGACAATTAGCAAGTTTGATATTGGTTTAACCCCAGCGTGCTCAGGTTTTTGTTGTTTTTTTTACATGACAGGTATGGCAGCATTTTAATGTCTGGATGACATTGTCTCTGTGGTGTAACAGTCTGGATGGGAACTGACAGAATAACTAGAAAGGAAATACTGAACTAAGCCTGTGCTTAAATAAGGTAATATACATATATATTTAAAAAATTACATCTCATAAATACATTTGGCAAGACAAGGTGTTGTTTTTTCTTTTTTGGCAAAAGTGGTAAACTGAACAATGTGTGTAAAGAGTAACAAAAACGTCAATCTAGGTGGCTTAGTGACAGGTTCCCCTTTGAATAACTTAATAAAAAAATTGCCATGCAATATAAAGTGTAACCAAAAGACTTCAAAAACATCCATAGGCATCTGATATAACTTCGTCACAATCACTTAATGTTTAAGACACGGGTATTCTCACCAACATCACGCACTCTCTTTCTCCAAGTCAGTTCTTTGTAGACCTGAGGAACGTTTCTTATTGTTTTGTATTTTTTTTAACTTCTTTTTATAAACAAATATCCCATCTTCACATTCTGGATTTCTAAAAAAATAAACAAAAAAAGAAAACAACCAAAACATGATGAAATAAAACTGAAGCTGGTCAAGTTCTCAGAACAGCTGAAGAAGCAGGAAGAGGTCCAGTACACCGACCAAGATGTTGTGCCTCTGCTAACCGTTCCGACAGCATCAGTTTCTGATTACCTGCTCAGTTAATGGTTCTCCCTTTGCTTTTGCTAAATCAGGGAACTAGACGAAATGTAAAAATGTCCCCATGTGGGTTAGACATTGTTCTGGATTGGCATTGTGAAGCTACAGTTGCAAAGCAGCACAGCACCCTGGCATACAGAGAGAGGCATCTTCTTTTTTTGTTGTCATTGCAATACTGTGAAAATGTTGAAAAGAGACACCTGAAGAATGAATGTAGTGTGTGCGTTGGTCCATTAGGTCTGCTCACTGGATCTCGGAGTGTCAGGATTCCATTCTGTGGATGTGTTGGGATATGTTTAAATCACCTGACCTCTCCGTTTGGAGCAAAGCCTCCAGAACACCCTAAACTACTGATGAGAGCGTGTTCTCTTCAGGACAGTGGCAGGGGCTGGATGTTCGTAGGGAGTTTATTACTGGCAGGACGCCCTCGCTTGGTGAAAGGTCATTGAGCTCCTCTGATGAGGAGAGAGGAAATGATGGGGACAATGATATGCCTGAAGAAGGATCGGCAGAGCCAGCAAAAGTGCGTGGAGGTTTGGGAACAAGGTTAGGCTCCATTGTCGCTCTGGCCAGCAGTTGCGCATCATCCAGCTGCTGTCCATCTCCGAGACACTCACTCTGTCCAAAGGAGCCCCTCCCAGACTCCGACTCCCCATCAGACAGGTCCAGGGGCGGCGAGCTGCTACCATCCAATCTAAAGAGAGAGTCTAAGTACTGGGCAAACTCTAGCACAGCCTGACTGGGGTTCCCATTAGTAAGCGGAGGTGGAGCAGTAAAAGCTGCCAGACTGGGTTCTTCACTCAATGGTTTCTCTGTCGTCTCAAACCCTAAATCCTCTCTTTTAAGATCCGTTAATCTAGAACCAATCTGTGGGCTTAGGGGAGCGTTTGGAGTGCTCCCTGGGCTGTAGACACCCGGCATCTGATCTGCATCATTAACCATTGCTGATGCTGCGTTAGGCTCGTGTTTGATAGGCAGATTTAAAAGAGCTGGGGAGTGGGGTCCGCTGTAGCGTGGCGTGGCAGGAGAAAGCTTCATGGGGTAATCTGGAGTGGATCTGCATTCATGTGGGGTAAAGAACGGCCCAACTTCACCGAGGTGCTCTGGTGAGGCCTGGCAGAGGCAATCTGCAGCCAACAGTTCAGTCCGGGAACTGAGAGATGGGTTCTCCTCTGGTATTGGGGCATCCAAAGGGAACGGTAAACTACCCAGCATTGGCGACCCTCTGAAGGCCGCTGAGGAGCGCCGGGAATCCAGGCTGTAGAGGGACTCTGCGTCTGAGAGGCTTTCCATGACGGCCAGTGGAGCTTTACGGTCCCTAAGCTCCACCGTTAGCCGCTCCCGTGCTCCACGCAGCACTACAGGAACTGGGGGAGGAGGGCACTCAGAGAAACCATCCAGAGATATCTCAGACTGGGCACACGAACTGGAGGATAGGAAAAAAGCGGGTTTGAGAGGAATGGCAAGGATAGGAAGGGAGTGGGGGACCCAGAACAAAGGACAGACAATAAAAGTGGATCAAAACAACTTTTGGTGGGTTAAAGAGGAGGAAAAACAGGTAGATGTTAGTAAAGACATTATCTAGACAGCTTAATCTACGTGCCCACGTCAACATAGGTTAATGCAAGAAAAAGATGCATGAGTAAAGGATCATGGGTGCAGGTCATTTTGCTCATGGTTCCTTGTTTCCCAACACCTTGAGTGTCCAATACATTTTTTTTTAAGATAAAGAAACTAAAAGAAAGGATGTTAAATGCCCTTTCTTCTTTTAATACTATGAGTAAAGGGCACCAGGACAAATGTTTGCATAATGAGAGGCACCCATGAAGGTTGTGCTAGAAGTGCATGTAGGCCCTGGATTAACATCAAATACAAAAAGGGTACATTAGAATTCAAATGCTTCTACTACTACTACTACTACTACTACTAGAACTTCACACTGACTTTGGAGGAGTGAACCAGAGGGGGTCAGTTGGAAATCAAGATCTGCCATACGTTACAATTGCTCTGTGGTTACAGCGTGCAGGCGTGCAAGAAAGGGGGATCATATTGTGCAAAATTAGTACCAGCATGCCATTCTTACCGTAACAAAGGTTTTTCTCTTTTTTTTTTTTTTAACAGACAGACAATTTGAGAAAACAATAAAGTAGCAGTTAGTTGCAGTACTAAATCTGCCAGCACTACACAGTTAAATATGTCTATGGTTTAGTTTCACATGTTCTTTGAGGATCAGTCACATCCACAGCAGAGCCTGGCTTACTAACCGAACGCTGCTATTCCTGCGGTGGTGGGCCGCCATGGGCGTCGGCTCCTGAGAAGCCGCATCCTCAAAAATGGTCTCTGGGTTCAGGTCTACTTCGGTGGGGCTCACCATGATCTTGGCTGCTGACAACAGAGCCGTTTTTCCTTTATTGTAGTTCTCCAGCACCTGTTAACAGCGCAGAGGCACGTACACAAACACACAGACACGACTTCAGAGACAAATGTTGACTCAGTTCAGACTGTACACTCAGGAAAGGGAATAATTGACCGGTTAATCGAGGAGGAAATATAATGGTTGATCACCTGAAATGAGAAGCAACTTTATTAAAACTGAACCATAAAAAAACTGACCCACAAACCCAATTACCTACTCTATTCATTAGTTTTTATTAAAAAAGGAACATCTCTCTCTCTCTGTCTCTTACAGAAATCCTAGAATAAATCATCACAAAATGGAAACAATGCTTTAGATAAGTCTTTGGATGACCATCAGGAAATAAGAGAAGCCTAAACAGTAAAATTACAACCATATTTTCACCTTTAAAAAACAGTGATGATATAATAGATGGAAGTGAAATCTGAAAGTGAATTTACAGCCTACTGAGGCTGACATTAACCATCCACAGCTACCATGATGCCTCAGAGAGAACGCCCATAGAGCCCTCTCTCTAGAAAATAAGTAGTAACAGAGCAAACGCCACAACTACAAATGTTTAGTGATCTTTAATGAGTTAATGAACACAGTAACAAAAACATAAACATGGTGGTAGAATGAAATAAAAATTACATGGAGTGGGACAGAGATAAAATACAACGAATAAAAGTTTAGTCATTTAAAATGTGTTAAGGACCTTTCCATGTAGATGATAAGGGAGAGTTATAACATATCTGGCAAAGTGTAAGCAGTAAAAAAAAAGACAGGAAATATCTAGGACTAAAAACATTGTTTGCTTAACTTAACGAAAAATGAAACAATTGATGGCAGAAAATAAACGTGATCGCATTATAATCCTACAGCTAAATATATAGGTGGTTCATCTTGTGTAATGACATCAACATTGTAAAGACTTATTTCACCTTTCAGGATTTAAATATGCAAGCATCAATCCTCAGCTTTACCTGGTAATATTTCCTTTTTAAAGAAATGTGTAAACTTAGAAAAATTAGGGAAATGAGCAGAAGCTTTAACATTCTCCTTCCTCGGAATGAAACCCAACCAACCGATAATGAATGCGTATTTTTCAAGACTATATGAGAGAATAGTGAGGCAGAAAGAAGACAGAAAAACACAGCTGAGGGTAGTGGGAAATAAAGAGCGCTTAATGAGTTAGAAATTACATTACCATGGAAACTCTGAATACATGAAAACTTGTGAGGTGGTGGAACAAATGTGACAAATTTTCCATCGAGGCACTTGACTGAATGTACAGGCGCAGAAAGAAAGGGCTGAAAAAAAGAAGTCAAGTTATAAATGGAAAAAAAGAAAAAATAATGGCTAGAGGAGAGAGGATAGAACCTGTTTAAAGAGTTTTTGGTTAAATTAGAAGCATTACGAACTACTCTTGCAATGTGTGACATAATGCTGAAGTCATTGCTCAGTAAAACTCAACATATTTGTTACCCAAAACATTTGAGTAAAAACACTTTATGTTTTTGCTAAAACACTCAAGTTAAATAAAGCGGTCTCGGTTTGATGCATTTAATTAGTGTTTTATGTGGAAAATAAAACTAAGCAAGGGGCCGAAAGCAGAAGGTTTTACCAGTGAGTCTTTTCTACATATTTACAATAAAAGTAGCCAAACTCATAGTTCTTAAGTTGATTTTTTTTAAAGTGGAAGAAATTAGAACGTCTCTCCTCCTGCTCCTGGATTGCTTTAAAAGATGTAAATATATGTATCCAAAGAGGCCTTAAAGGCCAACATCAAAACCGTCACAGAGCCGTTTGGCCTTTCTTCAACATAACGGACAAGCGAAAATTAAACTAAGTGCTTTAATAGTTAATTGCAGCAAGTTTAATACTGGATATTGTAAAGTTTAGACTAAGGAATCAATAAGCTGCCCCGACACTTGTAAACTGCAGACCTCGTCATTGTGCAAAGAGCCTTGTGATGGTACCATCTTGAGCGGAGAACTTTCAGTGTGAGAAGAGTTAGACTCAACACACAGCACTTCAGAGAGAGGGGTAGTTATCATATCTTCGTTGGAGTGATGAATGCATGGCACTGACATGGTTTTTGCTGGTACGCATGAATCATTTTGAGCTGGGAGCTCTCCAGTGTGAGGGGTAGGGGATATGTTAGAAGGCGAAGCGACAGACGGCAAGCACGGCTGGGAGGCAGAGGTGCAGCCTGACAAAGGAGAGGGTGGAGGAACAGGTTCTGCATCTGGAAAAGATGGAGAGGGGAAGGCAGTTGGAAGGCAGGAGATGGCTTCAGTTTCAGAGTGGGATTCAGTGCCAGGTGGGTGTTTGTGGGGAGTGGAAGAAGTATCAGACCGAGGAGGACTGGAGTTTAGCTCTCTTTGTGGGGTTATAACATTAGTGCTGTTGCAGGCTTCCTGAATGAATTCCAGTTCCTCCATTTCCAAATTTTCCTGCTGAGGAAGGGGACAAAATGGTTCCAGCACCTGTTGAAACACCAGATGTATCACACCACAAGCTGGGAACAGAAGGCAAATATACACAACCAAAACTGATCTTACCCAGTGAACCTAAACACACACACACACAGGTAGGAAGAAACACCAAACATTAAGTCTGCAGCCACAAAAAAAGCAAACCCACAGCTGATCCTTCCCATGCAGGCATACATGTTAACAGCCTGTTATCAGAACAGATGTTCATTGTCCTAGACAAACCTGAGAAGACCACCAACCAACCAATCAACCGTGACAGAACAGTTCCCATGCTTTGAGACAGGACTGACAACAAAAGACATAAACAGAGAGGTCAAGTTATAGGTTATGAATGGCTTACATGCACAAAGAAACCTTTAAAACTGCACTCGTTTTTAGTAAGAAAAATAATAAGCCTGAGACAATATTTGTAGCAGTCAATGGACTGTTTCTGTAAACCAGTTCAAATGTATGTCAGGTGAAACGTCATAAAGGCAACATGGTTTTCATCCATCACTAGAAGATATTTTTCAAAGGAATCATTCCCTAGGTGTTTCATACTATCGGTTATGGTGATAAAAAAAAAACGTAAAATCTAGTTACATCAGGACACTGCCAGATTTAAATGAGTTTCTGGTTTAATTGAATCTGAATCGAAACTAAGCCTGATTAATCTCAGTGTTGTTAAACCTCTTTAAACTTTTTAAGAGGTATTTTATAACCCTACAGAGATAAGTTTAGATTTTAAGTTATGTGAATTGATAAAATCTTACGCTGTTATGTAGATATATTTGTATAGTTATTGTGTGGATATCCTGGTAGGTTGTAAGGTGTAATAAAAACAGGGTAGGCAAAAATTAGCTTTGCTTTAGCCTCTTCCTTTTTTGGTAAAGTGTGGGTTTGTTTATTGTTTTTTTTTTTTTCCTTTTATTGTTTCCTGTGTTTAATGTTGACAATTTACAAAAATTAAGTGATTGATTATTGAACTTTTTATTATAATTATAAAGTTATTCGCATTTTAAATTTTTTTAAGCTTAAAATATATATATAGTGTTTTGTTAGAAGCAACTGGTACATGCTCGCCATTGGCTTAATTACCCAGCAGTGGAAGTCAAGAGCAAGAGTGAAAGGACAACGCTCCGTTATTTGAAAAACACCCCCATAAAGCGAAACCTGTATAAGCAGGAGGATGAACCAGACCTTATTTAGGCCCTCCATAACCATGTGAGGCATGTGCTCATTCAGCATTGCTGGCGATATGATGACCTCGTCGAACCCCTTGTTGTCTCCCCAGAGAGCAGAGTAAGTCGGCTCTTCCTGTCCGCACCTAGAAAGGCAGAGAGCCAAGCGGTCAGACACCGGACCATGAACACACATTGATTTTCTGGGCGGTGTAAAACAGAACAATAAGACAACTGGTATAAAATGAGGAAACCTTTAAACAAATCCTCTTTAGACCTCATTAAAGATTGTATCATAAAACCCATAAAGTGAAATTTCTAGCAGTTAATGAGATATCATCGGAAATTATAAAGGTATGTAAGTATTTCTCCTCTGCTATGCTGACGTAAAGCAAAAGCTTTTTGAGCTTTAGTAGTAACTACTTTTCAGTAAAATTCAGTAAAACTCAGAAGAACAATAAGCCCTAAATGCTTCTATAGAGTTAGCAACTCAGTCAAAAACCCACCTCAGGTTCTCTTTGGTGACTTTCTCGATTAAAAAGAAATGTTTGGGTTTAGGCTTTAAAACATTATTTATGTGTTTTGAACATTGTTTGAAAGCTCAACGCTTCAGTCTGCAATAAATGTTATGAGACCTGGGAACTGTCTTCATGTTGCTGACAGCTGAAATATAAAAAGGAAGACCTCAAGCAGCAGGATGACGCAAAGCAGCAGACGTCTATCTACAAAATCATAACCTGGAACTGAGACGTTTTTAGCTGTAATTAATGTAATAAACTTTTTCAGTCTGTTTTCTGACCATGACTCTGGTGGATGGTTGTGCACCACGTGGATGATCCTGCCAGGAGGATAGAGAGGTGTGGAGGCCGACGGTGCGATGCTGAGGTCACTAGCGTGTAGCCACAGGCGGCTGCTGGGGGGCGCTGTGGACTGAGATGGAGGATCGTCGTCCTCCACTGGAAGCTCTGATTTGGGGATGCATTTGGTACCGCCCACAATGATCCTCCACTGTTAGAAAAATAAAACATTCCTCTCAAAGTTATCATCTGCCTTTTGAAAAGCAGTTAATTAAATAACGGTTTTCTAAAATACAAAAATAAAAAATACAAATGTAACTTAAAGGTATAGTGGAGGATGTTCTTTTTGCAGGTGGATCGTCAAAGTATATGGTCCTCCTAAATGTCAGTCATTCTGGTGATATGTTTATGTAAGTCCGTCCTACATGCTCGTCCCCATTTTCACTTACCGGTGGTGAGTCTGACATAGTGGAAAAATTGTAAATCTTCTTTTGGAAAGGAAAGTATGAGAGATTCAAACAGCAACTTTTAAACAGAGTATGCATGAGGAGAAATGGGCTTGTGCATACTCTCACACACATTTTTTTAAGTGGAGATGGCAGATCTTTTTTTCAGAAATTCATCAAAATACTCCATTATACCTTTAAAGTAAACTTGAATAAAATGTTTTCACTAATGTTATCTTCTGTGGTACCAAAACCTACGTTACCTTTGGCTTGTTACTTTTCTGTAAGACCTCCAGAAGATGCCGTCTGAAACCCTCCAGCTGAGACAGGCCGAGCCTAAGACAGAACAGAGGCTATTCTGGTCAATTTGAAACTAACCAGGAAACATTTGATCCGGTGGAAGAGATACCTTGGCACGAGGTCTTTTCCTAATACCACAGATGTGACAAACTCTTTGGAGTACTCCATGGCATCCTCACTGGGTATACAAAAATACAACATGGAAAACTTGAAAAATGTAAACATATTTTATGAAGAGCCTGAGCAAAAAGGGAAACATCAGCCGTCTGCAAGCAGTTGGACTTCAACCAACAAATGGGCAAAGAGATCATCATTTTCTTTACAATGCAACTTTAGTGCTTTTAAAAAAGTAAACCACCTGAGAATCTGATGCCAGAAAAACACTGGAAAGTCATCACTGTGATATTTCTGATGTTCAACACCATGTTTTGCTCCAAAAAAGTGACGATTTTGGCTAAACGGATACTTTTTCCCTTTTTTTGCCTTCCAATTATGTTTATTCATTTGGCTTTTGGGACCATTTCCAGACTGAAAGATGCCAGGAACATTGTTTTTCCATCTATTGTTGCCATTAATGAATTTAACTTCCTATTTTGTTGTTGCTGTTTTAAGCCTGCCTTATGTAATCAAATAGGTTCTATTTACCCATTTTCTTGACTTCACAGGTAAAGAAGTAATCAAGCCCTAACGTGTCTGGTGAATTGAAATTCAGATGTGTGGTTTATGACAGTTCATTCACGATTTAACAAGTCGAGCAAGTTTACTTTTACTACAACAAAGGTTGGCAGCTTATTTCCCTAAAAAAACCAAACCCCTATTAAAAATGACACCCTTACTCTAATATTAATCCAAGCTGGCCTAAAATATTTAAGTGTCTCAAAACAAAAGAAAAATAGAAGAATTCTGAAAAGGGACCAGTACTTTTCACAGCTTAATTTAAAGCAGGCATCACTGTGCAAATATGAGCTTCCTATGACAACTCGACAAAACATTGATGGGCAGTCTTTGTAGGACACAAAACTAAATGATTACATTGGAAACTTCAATATGTAAGAAAGAAAGAGTGGAGTAAGGTTAATGCACTTCTCTACAATACGCCTTTTACAGATAAATGCATGGTAAGTATTTCCTATTCATAGCATGCAAAGACCAAAATCCATACTCCCCCACAGCCAAGCACACATAACATGTGTCCACTATCAGAAAGCTGCAGAGCTGATATGAGGCCCATCAGCTCTTTGTGTGAGCAGCTCTAAGGAGACACTTATGGATGAGACAGTAGACTGCATTCTAGGATGCCTCTAAGGGTCATATTGATCAGTGAGCATGTGTTGGTTATTGGTCACAATTCTCTGGTGGGTTTTTTTCCCCCCAAAGCTGTCAAATATCCTCAACAGCTTTAGAAGGAACTTAAAAAAATACGAATGTTTAACATCCTTAATGACCCAAAATATAAATATGTAGGATTAGAAAAGGCAAACATTATGTAACCTAAAGAGGCTTTACAGCAGCCCACCTCCTGCCCAAAAACAACACAGGCACAGTATTTTTTTTTTTTGGATTTACAAAAAAATTGTCATTGAAAGATCAAAAAATATTTACATGTGATTATTTAAATAAAAACACAAATACATTAAATAAATAAACAGATTGATTTTAACTTGTGCTTATATAATTGAGCCGATATTTTTGTGCATGAGATCAAACAAATATCTTCTGAAAAATTAGGTGTTTATTGCACAGTGGTGACCTGGGAGTAAACCTTCAAAATGACTGGTACCCTTTAAAAACATGACAATTCAGCCTCATTTCGGCATTTCATAACTTCTTTCACAGCTCCAACAAAACTTGAACCTTTTTTTTTTTATAAAATGAGACGCCATGTCTTACCTCAGAAGGCCACCAGGTGGAGAATAAGAGTAGCAGTGGAGTGTGGGGTACTGAGGTCTGAGCAGGAAGGAGAGGATAGCAGCAGTGCCTGCCCCAAGAGAGTGCCCGACTATCACCAGCCCATAATGCATGGTGCCCTTGCTCTGTGGGAGACAGTCATTACACTCACTACAGCACAACAAAGGGATGCTTCTTTAGCTGTTGGCAGAATGTGCTTTAAACACAAACATTTGGTTTATGGTAATTTCTGCACATTTAGTAAGGCTTTAAATGAGGTACAACAGCTAATGTCAGCACACATTCTGAACAGGATCCTTACTAAGCCAGACATATTGCACACTGTACACTGAGTCACGTACCAAGTCTCTTCCAAAAGCTTGTGACAAGATCATTTCCTGCTCCAATTTCTTCTTAATGTATTCTGCTGAGTAAACCATTCCCTGAAGAGAATTAGAAAGGGATTCAATAGAGAGAGGGCGGCAAAAAGAAAGAGAAAAATGAAAAGGCAGTCATTCATCTCTTCACAATATCCAAAGCAATTACCCTGCTGTTAACTTTTGAAAGGACTGTCTCCCCTCAGAAAGCTTAGAATATATATATAAAAAAAAACTGCACTGCAAAAAAATATCTAGAAATATGTAAACATTTCTTAAATTAACTGTATTTACCTTTAATTTGTGTTGGTAAAGAAGATGATTTGCCATTAGAATGATTATTTTTACTCTTAGAATAAGATAATTAGATAATATGCACTTGAAATAAAACAATGCAATAGTTTTTTCTTATCTTAAATGTAAATTGTCTTGTTCCATTGGCAAAGTGTCTCACTTACCTCCTCAATTCAAGAAAAAATGCACTTATTTTGCTAAATTTAGTAGTATGTAGATTTTTTATTTTTTGCAATCTGAGAATTTGGCTTGCTTTTGAGATGTTCAGACTCTAACCTTGTGACCAAGCCAGGTCCCATGCTGCCCCTCCACTGGCAAACGTTCAGAGTCTCCTGTCAGATCAGTCAAGGCGTCCTGACACATAGAGTATAAGACAGGCGAAACAATTACATTTAAATAATAATCCACAAAGGTGATTTTAAGAGAGGAACAAAAATTAAAAAGGAAAATCTTAATCTCTTAAATGAGTATAGGGTATGAAAAATAGTTCTATTCATCCTTCATAGCCAGTTTGTTTTATAACAACCCTTCAACACAGCAGATGGTAAATGAGATGAAAGAATTGTGTCAGCCGAAGTGATTTCATAAAGCTTCATTCATTTACCTTTATGTTGCTGAAAACTAATTAAATTGATCACACGCTTTCCTGTGAGCATTTTATCTTTGCTAAACATAAAAAGCCCTGTTTCTTATTCTGTTCTGGTTAAAAACTAAAAGAATTTCCAATAAGCATAAAAAAAGGAGTTTATAGGATATTTCTCTCTAAGAGTGGACAGTCACGCTCTTGTTCTTTGCATGCTGGGTGTGGGAGTTTGAGTGCGCTGTACTGAATATGAGAATCTAACCTGCTCTTGGAGTTCGAAGGTGCCTCTACATTATAGCAAAAATCTATATTGTTATGATAAAGAACAAAACAGACAAGGAAAGTTAAACCACCTTTGGTGAAAGGGTCCCCCTGATACTGATGACGACTTTCTTTTTTGCATGATCCACCGCCACAAAGAACGGAGTTTCGTAAACCTGTTTAAAACAAGCACAACAGCCGATAAATTAACTGTATGTCATTAAAAAAAGAATATGATAAACGATGCAATAAAAAAAAAATTAAAAGGAGACATCTTCCAGACACACTAAAGCTGTTAACATGACCAATCAGTGGCACATGACTGCAGTCATGTTCCTCCTTTTTACAAAGCCTGAGTGGGTGCAGAGGGAAGCATGACGATGCAGCCGAGCCAGTTAATACTGAAACAATTGCTCGACAGATTCTTATCCAACGACTATAAACTTAAATTTATTACAGTGGAATTTTTGGATTAATTCATGCCTTAAAATCTTAAAAGCACGGTGTAGATGAATATTCAGTGCCCTGGTTTAATAGTTAATAGTTTGCAGAACCACCTTTTGCTGTGGTTACAGCTGCAAGTCTTTTGGGATATGCTGTGCACCAGCTGTGCACATCTAGAGTGGAAACTTTAACCATTCTCTTCAAAGCAAATCATGATCAGATTAGAACTAAAAAGCATTTGTGAATATTATTTCAGCTGTGTTTAACTTCAACATGGAGTCACTAAAGAGCCAGTATTTCAATTAGCCGTTTACTTTTTTGACAGATGAAGAACTCTTGTGGCAGTGTTCCTGAGCTGTTTGTCTTCCTATTAAAGATTTAAGACCCATTGCTGCCGTCTGCAAATGTTTGCTTGGTATGAGGGATTTCTGCAAAAGTTAAGAGGCCCTTGTTCAAGAGGAGTATTTGCTACAAGTTAGTGACTTGATTGCAATTGCCCCGGGCTGACCTATTTTATTTCATCTTGCTAAAAATCTACAAGCCCCTAGATGTTTCACTCCAAGGTTTCATTGTTTTTAATGACCTTGAAAGCTTGCTTGGCGCGAGTCCATTGTTGCGGGACGTTCCTGTTACTTTTTTGTGGAAAAGTACCAACTTCTACTTGTGTGCCTGAATCTCCATGTTAGCTGTAAACCTCTCCTCCTTCTGTGTGGTGGTAAACCCACTTTAAGCTCGTTACCACCATCTGAAGGGGAAGAAAATCAGTGTCCTAATCGGGTTAAATATGATGTGACCAAAATTGAGTGCCTCTGCAATTTGAACATTTTGTTTCGATAAGCTGCAGTTATACTGCAAATGCTAATTTTTTATAGGCCTACAGTTGGCTGGAGGGGTTCACTAAATAGAGAAGAATGCATCTTAAATTGAGAATCTGATTTATTTACATCAGGGTTTATTTGGAAAACATGGTATTTAACTCCCACTTCATATTTATTTAACATTACCTGTATCCATTGATGAATGGATCAGAAGAATGGTAAAACAATTATTTTTAAGTTTTGTTTGAAAATATGTTACACATTCAACAGTTGCCTTACATTTGCAATGCAGTGTAACAGGGATCCAGCAAGTCATAAAGCCAGTCCCATCCAAACTCATTTCTGATTTCTTGTTTCAAAAAGTAAAAGATGTTCATTGTGAATTTACAGCAGATATTTCTACACAAAAAGCACAAACATGAGGGAGGAAAGGCAAATGGCAAATAAATGGGTAAGAAGACAGAGAAGTCCATTTACTGCTGTCCACCCTTTTAAACTGCAGAACAGAACACTAAGATCAGATAGACAAACTTTTTCTTCCTTCAGTTTATTTTCTTATCGAAATACTTCAAATCAAACAAATTTGAAAACTTTTCCGAACTGTAATCCCTAAATTAAAGAATTTGTTATATTTTCCATAACTTCATATTGTTACCTTAGTTCTGTTTTAACAGGGTATAAAGGTTGCTGTCAAATCCAAAATAAGAAATTAGGAGTCGCCTTCTCTAAAGCGTTGGGTTTATTAGTTTTCCAATTAAACTACATTGTATAACTGAACATCAGATGGCAGCTCTAAGCTATTACCTTAAATACGACAACAAATATTTATTTGTTCCTGTTGCATTTCTATGTAATGACATGTAATAGTTAGCATTTTAGAAAGCCAGATTTAAGGGGAAGATACATAATCATTCAAAAGAAAAGGTTACCGCAGACACACATTTTTATGATGGGAGAGTTACAGCACAAGTTAAAATGTCAAAAGAAGATGTCATCAGAGCAGCTGTGCAACACTAAATTTCCTGAAAAATGCATAAAACATACAATCTTCTTTTAGAAAAAAAAAGATAAAGCAGCTCTTGCAGCTTTGCAACCTTTTGTGGTTTTAGGGGATTTTGTTTTAATGGTCACTCTACAACCTGATAGTGAAAAGACTGAGTGCAGAGGAAAGCAAGCCGACCACAAAAGACAGAGTTACCAATTTCAGTCAGCCAGGGGAGGAAGATCTCTTAATTAAACAAGAATTGCTGTTAGAAGCATAAAGAAATAAAAATAGAGTCACAGAGTGTTCTTTTTAAACTGTATATCATCTGCACTCACTAAAATTCAGCTCTGTGACTTTATCCGTTGCTGTCATAAAGGCACATCAGTTCCTCCTTGTTCTGTCCTCACACGTCTCCCACAGAAGAGAATAAAAGGTACAACACTGTGCTTAGAATGCAGTCTGAAAAGAGTTATAGTTCCAGCTGTCCAGCTACCCTGGAGCAACTCTGCTTTTCCCTGCCATCAAGGCCTTTTTCCATCCTGCCACAGTCTTAGGTCAGTGAATTTATAAATGGAAACCTAGTGCTGGTTAAACTCGCTGAGAGGCCCTCTGCTCTGCAAATTAGTAGCCCAAGTGCAGCTTTTTAGTAAAAATATCTCTGCTACACAATAAAAACCCATTTTAATGTCTATTATTGACTTTTTTTCAAATGTAAAAGAAAAGACGGAACGGCAAAGCTAAACCTCTAATATAATTACCACAGCATTTTATTACCAGGGCATCGGGTTTACGGAGATAAAAAACATATTTTAAAATGGCTGACCATTTTCTTAGGTAGATTTATTTTAATGTGTAGCAATTACACTCTTGCAAAAATGGGCTGAGGTGTCCTTTTTCAGCCCATTCACTTAAATAAAGTGCAGATGAATAATAAAGTGTTTGACCACACCAACAGTTTAAAACAAAATTCATATGACTGTGGGGTTCTTCAAATGCTGAGGGTGTTTGCTTTCACAGCAGCTCCGGTTTACAGCTGATGTGGTCAAGACAGAACAAACCAAGGATTTATGTTGCAGAGCCACTGTGCTACACAGCATTTGTTAGAGACAATGTTTTAAACTGTTGCATGCTCGTAACTGTGTGCACAACTATTCATGCCTTTGATATTTTTCTTATTCTATCACATTACAACTAGAAATTCTCTTGTATTTTACAGCGACTTTATTTGACAGACCAAAATGTTCCACAGCTGAAGGACACATGTTTTCTAATTGATTGAAATAAGAATCTGAAAAGTATAGTGAGCATTTGTTTTTGCCCCTGCAAGTCAAAGATTTTGACATTACAAAACATAATATTGGTAGTTGCTGGAAAAATAACGCAGTTACTGTAATGCGCTAGTCCCAACACTGGATTTATGAAGTACAACACTGTGGGGTTTTTTTTGTATTTTATAAACAAAACCCAATAATGTATATGTAGTGCATGAGGTTAAGCTGAGCATGCTGCTCTGTGCTGTGAGATGACTTTGTAATATCATCTTGACAAAGTCACTGATGCCCAGAGAGACAAAGGAAAGGCTAGTGATATTTGAGGATGGAGCTTTGAACAAAGGTTTAAGAGATACTGTTACTGATTCAGAAATGTCTTTGGTGTAAGTTTTTCTGCATCTTATCTACTTATTTTTAACAGCAACACACCAGAATTTCCACATTTGGAGAAAATAAAAGCACTTCTTCATTTATGCTGTCTCTCCCTGTACAGAGTGCAGCTCGTGTCCCTCTCTTTTTAATAGCAGAATAACAACCACACTTTTTCACCCAAGCTGCAGATCTCTGTAGTTCCTCCAGAACTACTTTAAATGCCACATTTTTTTCTGGGTTTTCCTTAAGGGTATCAGAGTGAAAGGGTTGATTTATACATTTTTATCTTTTCCTTCTTGAGTTATATTCTGCTTTATGTCAACATGAATTCTTATTAAAATACAGTGAAGTCTGGTGTCCTAATATGACCTAAAGTTGCAGGGCACCATCTAAGACCTTAAAATGAAGGGTGAGACTGCAATTCACTTCTGCAAGGCATTTTAAGTAAAATGTTGGCCTGTTGTTGTGAAACCTCTGTACGGAATTCATGCTTCATTCTGACCTAAAAATAAATCTTAGAACATTTCTGATTGCTGAAATACTCACAGCATCATGGCAGGATGTGTAGACAATGTGAACCTGCTTGAGATCCTGATCGAGGAACTGTCTGCGTATGGCCAGGACGTTGCAACCGCAGCAGTTGTCCTCTTCCACCGTCACAGACTGAGACAACCGAGAGCCAGACACTGATGAGCTGCTGGGCAGAAAGAGCATGATACCATGGGGAGGAAAGAAAGAAAACAGATTGGTGTTAAGATTGTTCATCGGACTGCAGATTAAGTGGACATAACAGAAATGCAGTAACAGCATGTAAGATAACAGGGATATAATTAGCAGTGCAGGGAATCTGGGTGCGAGCATGTGATAAATTCAACACTGCTTGTGTCAGTGAGTGGGTCTAACTGGAGTGGTATTGTCTCAGTGGATTACCGCTTGGCAAGTGTTGACGCATGCGAAATTTGATCAGTGCTGAAGAGGCTCAAGAGACACAGAAACCAAATAGATATAAATGTGCGGGTGTGCGCTCGAGTGCTTACGGGCAGGAGCTGGCGAGGCGGCACAGCCCACAGCCAGGCTTCCTCATCAGGTACATGGGCCAACCATATGCAGCCAGGGCAAAGAGCATATAATAACACACCTCCTTGTACATGTTCATCTCAGCCTTGGAGGAGCAAACACAAAAACTTGCATCAGAGTGAGTGAAAGAGGAGGAGCAGAACATTTCTTACAGTTACTCAGATCCAATGGGTTTTCAAAAGCCTCAAATATGATTTTTTGAATTCTGGGAACAGCAGAAAAGGAAGAAAAGCCAGCTCTGGTTCAGTCAATCTACAAAACAAAAAAACTCACAGAGTTCTTGAGGTCCAGGTATCTGGTACTACGAGTAACTGGTATTCCTGATAAGAACGCTATAATGTCATTGTTGGCCTGTCAAAAAAAAGAGAAGAATTCATCTTAAATTGTGAATTTTATGCATTTCTATATTTTCTTTGTAAAGAGTGCTACCTGGCCCAGGACATTGGATCTTTTAGACCTCTGTGTTTGACGGAGAAGCACAAGTCCGGCAATAATATCACTCGGCACAATGTCCAGGTCTCTGAAGAACTCCGCAAAAAGACTGGCAACTTCCGAATATGCATCCTGGTTGCAAAAACAACAGACAACAGCATGCACAGATCAAAAACTTTAGTGGTAGGGCAATCTTAAAAAAAAAAAGTTAAAGTGCAATATCACAGTTGCAAAGGAGTATTTGGTCTCTCTGTAGATGATAACACACCAGGACAGTGGTGACGATGGCACAGAAAGGTGAGGAAAACGTAGTTTGTGGCTCATTTGAACAATGTCTCATTTTATGTTTTCCTAATATGTAGCTCGGATCAGTGTGCAACATCTCAAGTAACATGTGGAGCAGATCACCCATCATCAGCAGGGAGAGTGGAGGACAATAAGAAACCGATTTAACTTGCTTAACATCATTAAAACCACATAACGCTTGAGAGGAAGTACTTCCTCTCAAGCCTCGTTAATTAGAAATACTTATGAACCACTTAGCTTAGCGTCCTCACCAAGACTAATGCCAGATAACAGGCAGAAGAAAACATGAATAGTGACCGCTCAATGCAATTTTTTCATCTCAAGATCGAACCTCTTGACCGAACCCTTTATACGCCATCATGTTTGTTAAATTCAAATGTCTATTTGAGTTGCATCCACTGAAGACACAATGATTCATGAATAATTTCAGGGTCAGAATTACGTTATTAATGCCTTGTGGGAAATTCTGTTCTTGCAGTGCAACAATTTACAGAACAGATTTCCATCATGGATGAATTGTACAACGTAAAATGTTCAGTGTTTTGTTCTGTTCCCTTAAAATTTTTATCTACAACAAACAAAAGTGGGTTGAGCTTTGTTTAGACTCACCGATTGTGTATCTTGAGCTCTTGTGCAACACATGAAGAATTTCAGTCTTCTGCTCCAGCTGCTGGCCTGGCCCTCTTCTAGTCTGTGTCTAATAGCAAGAGAAGCCCCAATACCACAGATTAATTAAAAAGAAAGACAGATTACGGTAAAAGAAAGGCAGAGTCATCAAAGACTGAGTCAGAGAGAAGAGTCAACAGAGGCAGTTTGTACCTAAGAGTGTATGTAGTTAGGTTCCGCTGTCGCCGACGGGTTGCTTTGAGCTTTACAAAAGTCCGTCCAGTAGGATCGAAGGTGCACATGAGGGTAATGCAAACGCTGAGGATCACCAGCCAGTTACATGCAACAATTCCTGGAAAGAGCGTTAAAAAGATCATTTTACTTCTAACATAAAAAGCTTAAGACTATAATATTTTTTTCTCATCTCTTCTTTCAAACATTTATTCACCGACCCAAAGCCAGGTTTTTTGCAGTGACATCAGAGCACGGCTGGTAATACTGGACAAGCCAGGCAATTCCTACTACAGCATACACTAGTTCCACAAGAAGAATAGCTAAAAAAGAAAAGAGAAATTATGCTCCAAATGCATTTTCAATCCAACAATATAATGTTAAATCTTGCAGCTTTTACTAACTGGGATTAAAAATCTTCAGAGAGGAATGGCGGTGTCTCACCTAGTCTGATGTAGATTACATACTGCACAGCTTCCCTGGGTTGCGTGTACAGAATGCTGCCCCTCATGCTCAACCACATGATGGCACTTTCACATATGAGGCAGCTGACAAGGATGCCCAAGTACCCTCTTCCATGATCCACCAGCGTGCTGGAGCACGACAGGTCTGAGCCGTACCCGAGGCCGAAGAGAACCACGGACAGTACCACCAACCTGTGGCAGAAAGATGGGAGAGAAATAAGTCTTTCTGCATAGATTTATTGTTAAAGCCAATAATCAGACACATTATGAAGAGGCTGCTGCTGTGAAAATGGTGGGAATCCATAGAGCTGCTGAAACAGTGACTCACCAGATACAGTGCAATAAAAAAAGAAAGAGAGCAGGCAGCACTAGGTCATCACTGCCGACTGACCAGCGCCGCCGAAACATCACCATCCCAGGCATCACTGCCCTGTGAGGGGAAAAAAAAGAGTTTTAAAAATTCACAGACAAAGGATTTTCCAAAATTTTCTCTCAGCCTGAAATGTCAACCAGCATCAGGAAGTGATACAAAGCCAAAATCTGTCATAAACCTTCAGCATGTGCTGGAAGAGATGACGTTACATTCAATAGCCATATTGCAGAGGTCAAAAATATCAACAGGTTCGGTGTCCTTTTTTAAGGACACCGGAGGGTTAAAATGAAAGAAAAAAAAAACAAATGAGTTCACAAATGATACACTGCTTTGATTTAACCTCTTAAAAAATAAAAAGATTCCGGTCATTTCCTACAGGTTAAAAATTAAATTCACAGTGCAGAAAAAAAAAAAAAAAAACTACACGTATACTTGTAGTTAAATATTGCCTACCTATTTATGGTTAGCTGAGCAATTGATAACTGGTGCCAGTAATTCCTAAGCTATAACTCAAGCCTTGACCTAAAAACTAAGAAAACAATCTTTACTTCTGAAACATCCAGCTGCACATTGCAACAGCTTGAAATAGCAGAGATGCATTACTGCTTAGTAAGAATAAACTGCACAGGTATTCTGCTAAATATGAATTCAAGTATATTGCCTGGACAGATTTATTGAAATGATCTAGTATAACATCAAACTATGGTTTCAAGAAATATCCTCACACTGGTATATATATATATAAAAAAAAAGTATAAAGATAAGTGGGCTCCACTTTTAATTAATCGAATAAAAGATCTAATGCTTTACATTTTCTTTTCTTTCGGCCCTCACTCTTAATGCGCTGAATTCCATCTTCCCTCCTTCAGAAATCACCTCAACTGAAGCATCTTTTATATAAAGTAGGGAAACACCAATTTAATATTATGGGCCATTATTGATGTCCAATATCAATCCTGAGGGGCATAACTATCAGAGTTGCACACATAACAAATGGCCAACACCCTCCCCATCCAAAACACATATACAAGCTGTAACTAGACACAAGTAAAACTGGTTTTCAATATCAGCTATCGCTGGGCAATAAATCCGTATCCATATATAATATACTAGGACAGACCTGATCAGTATCATTAGAAAATACATCAAATAGAATTTTCTATAATTTCACTGATCTGATCCAGGATTGCCTGGTATTAAGCCTCTCAACCTCTCCGGGCCAAAGCTAAGCAAAGGTTAGCATTATTAGAATTAATCACAATTCAAATTCTTTCTTTTCCCTTTGTCTTTATTTTGAAAGGATAAAAACAAAACATAATAAAAAAATAATAAATTATAAATACTGACTGAAATGAAAGGCATATATCATGTTACATTTTTCAGCCATGCTGCACAGTCCAAATACGGGCCCAGTTTTATGTAAGGAGTGATTATTGATTTGTTAGATTATTACCAGCATCAGTCCATACAGATGATAATGCAGATATAAAATGCATTCCTATAAAGAAGTCATTTAAGTCAAAGCCGTAGGGATCATAAAGTTGTTTTGTTTTGTTTCTTTATTAAACAGATTAATTTCTCCATCAAATGTGTTTCTCCATCAAATGCTTTGGAAAAACTTACAGCTCAAAAGAGAAATTAATTACTTGGTTGGTTACTAAAATAAAATAATAAAAAAATAATATTAATCAGATATGGGGCTCTTTTTTATTTTTATTTAAATCAAGCAAGCATTTTAGTTTAAATAACACATTTTGGAAAACAGAGGTAGAGGCCAGGTAGGGCTGGACAACGTGAGCAAAAATTGAGTTACAGTATATTCCTTAATTTTAGTTAATATCATATAAGTGGAACATTAACATAAACAAAATAAAAGCCCCAGAAAGACTGGCAAGAATGCCCGGAACAGAATCCTGTACAAACAAATAAAATTATTTTGCAGAGTCTATAAAACTCCTCCAGTATAATATTTTAGAAACATTTATTGAAGAAAAACCAACAACATAAAACCCGACATAAAACTCAGAAAGTCAATCAATTACTAATGCTGTAACCATACATTTTAATGTATACTGAAATATTGTAAATTTATTAGAAAAGAAATTAGTGTTATCAAATACAATTATATAGTGGTATATATTAATATTGAATTGATGTGTAACACTGAGCGCAGCAGCTTACAGTGTTTCCATTCAAATGAAAGCTTTTACAGATCATCACACACCAGCAGTTTTCTCTCTAGTTCATTTTGCTCAGACATTGAGAAAAAAACAACAACATGCTCATTTATTCAACGTTTAAAAGAAAGAAAAGTGCATCTAAGTGGCTCTAATTATTATATGTTGTTATTTTAACAAAGTGCCAAAGTCATTAACAGGACTATTTTCTGAAATATGATTGATTTTTGTTTTTAATATCAGTCTATTTGAACAAAAATACTTTGTCAAAGCTATAACCCAGGTAACCATATGACCTGTTTCAAGGAAAGAGAAGAAATATTTCAAAAATGTAAAAAATTCCCTACAGCTATTTCCTGTGTTTTAACTTTATTTGTAATCTAGTCTGGTCTGATCTTCATATCAATAGAAGTACTAGAGACACACTCATTGTGAAAACTGTTGATATTTTCAACACGTTTCAACCAACTGTGATAATATCTAAAGCAGGAAATCAAAAATAGACAAAAACAAAAAGGAATTAGAAAATATCTGCTGTTATTTTGCTCATAGATATTATAACCTATAATTAACGAAATTATAAGAAACACTTGTTACCTTATCAGCTACTTTTCCCAAAACCCCTGGGCTATGATGCTTTAAATATGAACCCAACTTAACAGTCCATGCAAAAAAAAAAAAAAAAAAGAAAAGGCATGGCAACAGTTCTGTGCATTGCTCCTGTCTAACATAAAAATTTCCTCTTTTTCTTAATTTTCTCTTATTTTAATTTATAAACTCTTCCATTTGCCTTCAAGTAAATGTTTTAAGGTTTCTAAAACAAGTGGAGATCAGGCTGTAATTATTTGGGATGGGATTGACAGAAAAATTGGACTCCTGTATTTTCTACTGACGTTATAAATCCTTTTTTGATAAAACGTCTGGCCTGACAATGACCACATTCATTATGCTGCTAAAGCCTGCATTCAACGCCTTTATTTCGTTTGTAGTGTTATACAAATGATCATTCATACTATGGTGGCAGTGGCGATTATCTCATGAAACACCATACAAACCATACAATAGTGTCAACACAGGAAATTAAAAAGCAGTAGGCACGACCCATTACTTTAGTAATTAAAGTAAATACAAGAACAGTGTTTTCAATAAACTGGAGACCTTGTACACTGGTACAACAAAATATATGATTTGTAAGAAGCAAAAAAACAACAACAAAACACTTGTTTTGTTTCATTAGACAAAAAACAAAAACAAAGCATCTTAATGATTTATAAATGCAACGGGGCAAAAAGGTCTGCCACTGATTATGCAAGTTGCCCTAATTAGAAAGTCTACCCCATCAGAAAATCACACTGTAGGATTTTTAAAGAATGTATGTTTAAATTGTGGTGGAAAATAAGTATTTTATCAATAATCAAAGCTCTACTGAATTTCCTCCAAAATAACCTTTGATGGCAAGAACTCTGGTCAAGTCTTCACCAGGAGGCCGTATTTATCAAACTTCTTAGAATTAGAATTAGTCCTTAGAGTGGACTTATGAATTAAAAAAAGTTACGTTAAAAGCTGCACTTAAAACTTATTAATCAGGTGTCTCATTTACACTCTTAGCAAAGTGTGCAGCTCTCATAGTGGGTTACAACAGCACCTGGTGCAGCAAATGGAATTTTAGATTAATCAGTTGTACAACCTTATATTGCAATAACATCTGGTAGACCTATTGAAAACACCTAGATTAAAAAAAAAAAATTACATTGCTCTTATTTAAAGGTCTATTTAGACCTGTTGATGTACATAGCCAAAACTGTACTAAAAAAAATGTTTTGGGATTTACAAAGCAGGGGAACAAACACGTTTCTTTTAGGAATTAAGGCTAATTTCTGATAATTAACTTTGGAATCAAAGCAATCAGAGAAGTTTCACCAGTCACATGCAGGATTAAAAAATGAAAAAAATAAAATAAAAAATGCGGATATGCTGTAAGCTCATGCATTAGTATCTACTGGCCACAAGCTATTTATTTAGTTATTTTCCATGGATTTGTAACACACGGTCACAACTTGATCATCTCAAGTTTTATTAATGCACGGCCACAGAATAATGTTGTGGCTGTGCTTAGTTTATGCATGGGCACCAGTTATTTTTATCCTGATGTTTTCAGATGTTATTTTTTGAGAAACTAATGGAAATGCAGTTTATTTTTCATTTCCGGTTAGAGTATTGTAGTAGCTTTTAATTCCAGCATAAAGCTCTGCTGCATGTGGTTATCAGTGAGACTACAGCCCTTGTGTATGAATGATATCTGCTCTGTCCAAACAATACGTCTGATCAGCCGTGTGTTGTTAAAGCCAAAACGTCCTCCGCCCACAGAACGTCCGTGCATGTCTCTCTCACCTCAATACCATCACCTAGTGGCAACTTCTACCCACTTAAGACACCACTGGAGGCCTCTATTTAAAGTAGTTAAAGTTGATAACTGGCTTTTATTCTTAAGTTTGAGAGTAGGAGCAAAACCCTAAATTCTTAGCACTAAATAAACACTAAGCAGTGTGATAAATACAGATCCATTTTTGCAAACACCAGCTAGTTATTAGGCCCATTCCTCCATACAAATCTCCTCTAGGGGGTTTATAGTGAAAATGCCTCATCTTTTTTCAGTAGAACTTGTACTGTCAGTGGCTGTCACTACATTTGATATATTTTACTTGTTGTGTGAAGCTTTATTTTCATCTTTTGAGGAAAACATTTTATTTATTTTTTTTTCCAATTTTGACAAAAGATTTTAAAGCATTTTTTGAATGAACAAATAAACTAAATGGGACGTAATGGATTAGGTAATCTAATCCAAAAGATGAAAATTGGTTGATAAACATTACAACTGGG